AAAAATGTAAGTTAAATTTAATTAATATATAAAAATAACAGCAGTATTTTAATCTAACGTTAAATTATGTAGAAGGTACAAAGATACATATAATTTATTGAGAATAAATAATAACTACATTATATTTAAATTTTTATAATTTTATTAATCTATAATTAAAAAATTATTTTAATTCAACAAATTTGCAATTTTTAAAACAACCATATTATAAATATGGTCTAAATATTTAGAGTCAAAGGAAAGGAATAAGCAGACTTGCAGTTATCCTCAGGATAGATATTACGCGTAATACGTTAATACATTGAATTTTAGTACTACCTTTGATAATGTTTTGTTCATGTATTTTATAATCACTGCAGTTGAATACAAAAGCAAATGAAATAAAAATTACTAATACTATAATTCACAAATGACGCACTATAATAATGATAATAATCGATAAATTAATGTATATTTTTAATTATTATATAAATATTTAATATACGTTTAATGATTATACAAGTCATTCACTTTTTATCCGGAAATTTCTGTAGACGTACATTTGACCCATATTTATCCCGGCCAGACCACCGATTGGACTCTAATGCAAAGCTTGTTGGTATTCAGGGACGGCCGCTAGGCAGCGCTTTGACCACTAAAAGCGACTTTACGGGTGTTACCCTGACAACACGCACACGGGCGATTCATAGTGTCTGCTGGTTTATAAAGAGCAAACCTATAAAAAAAAAGGTCAGTTCGGTACACACCCTATATACTCGTACCTTTTTAACTCTGCATAAGTCGTTATTTTTTCGTATATTTAATATCTATTATTACATAATAATATTATTACGATCTGGTTAGTAAAGAATATAGATGATAATAAAGATAACCTTAACTATATAATATATAATATACAGTATGTATATACAATATGCATATACAATTTTTCAATGAAATCCCTATTAACTAAAATTTTATTCTTAACCACAAAATTGAATAAAACGCTTATTCACTTTCATATTTTATTATGTATATCGCATTCCAGTAAACTTACAGCCTATTGTCAGTGGTGTAATTACGGGGAGGGAGGGATTCGGGATTAGGTATTATACTACCCCCATAGCTTTTTTAAAAACTAACATACATTTAATTTAAAGATCGTAACAATTTATTTTAAGAGTTCAAGAGTTAACTTCATTAATTTTTTAAAAATATATTTATAGTAAAATAAATAAATTAATTATTCAAATTATGAAAATAAGATTTTAAGACTAAATTATGATTATGGACATATCATTTTTTACCTCGAAACAGACAAAACTGAATAGTAATATTATGTGTTGGTAATTTTATTTTTAACATATAGCAAATTATGCTTATAATATATTGATTATAATTCCAATTCTGAAACTCAATTCTAAATGCAACTAAATTTTTAGATTCTAAGTGGAGTGAGAATATATACATAAATTTTACAATGATTAGTTGCATTTTTCCGAATCTGTTAAAACCTTTTGAAGCGATAAAAAAAGGTTAAATTTTCAACTTTGATGGTGGTATTTATGAGCATATTTTTCTTTAAAATACGCAATACTTTTCATAACAATTATTAAATATTAAGAAAAAAATGGATAATTGTAATATATAATTCTAAGACAATACTAATTTCCAAAAAAAAAAATGTTTTTTTTTATTTTATGATAATTCATAAACAAGCAACTGTAGGTAAATACTTGATGTTTTCACTAAATATTTATAATAGTATTTTCTTACAATTTTAAAAATATTTTAGTTATTCAAATTTTTTGGTTTTTTTGTATTTTTTCAAAAATAAATTATTACAACAAAATAACTAAAACTGTTAATTGTTATCTCTGCTAAAATTTAAATATCTATAATTTCGATAAAATTTTTATAAATAAAATAGTACTTACACATTTTTTTGAATTATTAATACTGTATTAAATACTTATGTAGAAGTGGATCTAGGATTTGGGGGGGGGGGGAATTGTTCATATTAATTTTGTAAAAAGTTTAAAACAATAAATTAAAATATTATTAATTTATATTATTATTACAACTACAAATATAGTATAACTGTTAAAGGGGCTCAGGCCCCCTCGCCCTCCCTTCCCCCTTAAATCCACCATTGTTTATATGAGAAACCTTGTATCAAATTATTAATCCTTACCAATAAATATAAACATTTTATTAATTTTAAACCACTAAATTATTTACATATTTTCGTAATTTTTAGAAAGTTTTCCAAAATTTAAATTTCAACCATTTACAAAAAAAAAAATTAAGGTTTATATATATTATATGTTTTTAAATATTTTTGATTAGCTACAATAATAATTTATGAACAGAGCTTAAAAGTTATAGTACTAAAAAAGTAAATTTTTATCGCTATAGTATAGGTATGTCATTTGACGTGTTCTTAAATACACCAAAGTAAGCTCAAAATGTAGCATTACAAAATAATAAACATGTAAAATAAAATTGTCGAATTTTTTTTCTTATAAACCATTAAGAGAGTGTAATCCAAATTTGCATTTAATTTTCAATGTTAAATGAATTTCCAAAAAAAAATATACATTTGCTAGAACTTCCAATTCCTGCTTATGAGGAAGCTATCATATAAAATTTTCTAGCTTATTTACCAATGGAAAAAACATATTTTGAAAATATCTAGTAAATTTGTTTATTCATCTAATGAATTGTACTCAAAAAAATGAAATAGATTTTGTCAAATGTCAAATACTGATCTTCAGACTCAAAATTCACGCTGTGAATTGATTTTTCGGTTTTGCACGTTTCCCCAGCTCCCCGCCAAACTTAAATAAGGCAATTTTCAAACTTTCTTCTTTTTTTTCTTTTTGAAATCATCATATATTACTCAGAAATTCTCGAATGTACTTTTCAAATTTTAATTATTGTTTTATAATTGATTTTCGTGATAATGGATAAATATAGGGTGACAGATCCAAAGGATGAAGTCGATCCTTATTATATTTTGCAAAATATACACCACTTAAAAAATGGCATTTAGGTTAGCTTATGTGGCGACTGGCGATATTTATGCATTGAATTACTAGTGAATAATAATGTACCTGTATTACTTTATTGATACATAACGCTAACGGGCTAATATACTCCTCGTGTGCCGAAAGTGAATACAAATGGCAAAGGTTAAGTGTGACAGAAGATTGCGAATTTTCCAAAAAGTAATTTATCAAATATTAAATTATAAAAAAAAAACTGAAAAATTTGTTCTATAATATGTATTAGGTAGTATGTTTAGTTGTATGCTTGAAAGATTTTGAGTATAACTCGTCAATAATAGTCTATGCCATAGGTGATGGTCTAGTAGTCAAGTTTACATTTTACATATAAAACATGTTACCAGCTGACCACTATAAGATAGAAGTCATGTATGTATAAACTATAAAACTGTTTACATTAACAGGCTAGGTCATAAACATAATATAATAGTATAATAAGGCTAAGTCGTGATTTGTTGTTACCTTGGTTATAAATGGTCATTCTAATTTTCATTGTAAGCACTAAGCAATCTTGTCTATAATAATTAATAAATATTAAATAAGTAAAAATATTATTTAAGAGAATGAATCAAATTTAAGGCATATGATATTATGACGTAAACATCTTATTTGTGACGTGAGGGTAGTTTTATTCCTACGTAAGACGAAATCACGAGTAGTGAAAAAAGGAGAACAATAATTCCATTGTATACAGACACTTATAATATTTATTCAGATCTTTTTAAGGGAAATAGTTTAGGATTGGATCACACTATGCGTTTTGTCGATTGCCGACTAACAGGAGCCGATCGGTAATTGAATCGCAACACTCAAAATAAAATAGATTGAAATATGAAACGCGTTATTACTTATTAGGGCCAGACTAGACCAATTTGTGTAACCGATTAAAAACTGTCAGGAAGCGACCGCAACGTATCCAGATGCATTTCAGTATGTAAAGCACAACACATGCAATTCAGTTTGTTCGATCACACTTGCGCGGATTATCGGTGACCGAAATTGAAAATTGTATGAATAATTAATTAATTAAATAATTAAAAACTTGAAATATATTTGTAATATACATTTATATATAATTATATTTTATTTATATTATAGTCTATGGATGTATATTATTATTTATTAGCATAATTAGTTGATACATATTTTAAATAAAAATAAATAATTCTAATTAACACAACCTTTTTGTTATTTTTTTACTTATAATATTAAATACATTTCGATAAATAAAAAATCAGTTTAAAATTAAAATTTAAAATTAAAAACGATTTTTGGGCTTTTTAATCTCGTTTGTACCTATGTATTCAGTTACCGATAAAACACACTGTATGATCGATCGTCCCGATTGCGGTTAATCAAGATAGTTTTTTCGGTTGCCGACAAAACGCATAGTGTAATCCAAGCCTTAAGTTTAAGTTTGACAATATTGTCACAAATTTACAAACCATACTATGTTCTTACTAGTACAGACAGATGACAGTCAAACAGTTCAGTATTAGGTACCTAGTACCTACCTACTAAATAATTAATAGACACTAAGTAGTTCGTACCTATAATTTTTTTTGGAAACTGATTGAAATTTCTGGTAAACAATAAATAGTATTGAGATGGAGATGTCCGAATAATGGGTATTATTTTTAAATGACAAGTAGCGAATAATTTTTACCGTAAATACCATATCATAGTCAAATATAGATAAATAATAATATGTGAAGAAAATCTATCAATTTTTTTTTTTTTTTTTATGAGAAATATGATCATTGATCACATATTTTAAATTTTTAACCATACATGCCGACGTAGTCATCACTTACAGCTCAGTAAACAATCCTTTATTCATAACGAAATAAAATTATCATTATTATTTATTTTTTTTTATCAATATATAGTAGGTTATCACTTATCAACGATCAACGTCAATTAAATAATATGAATACACCACAAACACATTATTTAAAAAAAATTACTATTATTAATTATTTTTTATTTTAGCAATATTAAGCACATACCTATTTATTAATCGATTTAGTTTCGAGTGCGCAATTAAGTTAGTTGTTTGTGTAACAAATATTATCCAAAGAATGACAAAATCTCTAATTGTATGACGTATTTTCGTTCAGTTTATCGTCTGTTCACCACAATGAGTAAACCTCAAGTTGTTTTCGTTCTTGGAGGCCCAGGTGCGGGTAAGGGTACGCAATGTTCTAACATAGTATCCAAATTTGGATTTGTTCATTTATCTGCTGGTGACCTTTTGCGTGCTGAACGCAGTAAACCAGACAGTATGTTTGGAGAATTGATTGACACTCACATCAAAAACGGTACAATTGTCCCAGTAGAAATTACATGTAAACTTATTCAAAATGCAATGGAAGCATCAGCAGCCAATCGATTTCTAATTGATGGATTTCCACGAAATAGAGATAATATGGTTGGCTGGAATACCACAATTGGAGACCAAGTTGATCTTTTATTTGTGCTATTCCTCGAATGTCCTGAAAATGTATGTATAATTAGTAAATACTAGTGTAAAAAACTAATCATTTTGAAAAAATTGTACCAATATTCATTTTTATTTTATATAGATATGTATAGAACGATGCATGAAAAGAGGTGCTGCTGGAAGTGGTCGCGCTGATGATAATTTAGAAAGTTTAAAAAAGAGGATTGTCACATTTGTAAATGATTCTATGCCAATTATAGAATATTTTAAAGAAAAAAACTTGGTGAAAAGAGTTGAAGCAGGAAAAAATGTTGAAGATGTATGGTCCGATATTATTGAAATATTCAAAAACATTTGAATAGAGAAACAAATTATTCATTTAACTTATTAGACAATTTCCTAAATATGATAGATTAAATTAATTGTATTCTTGCATTATCCCAACAAAAGTAATTATTTTATAATATTATGTATACCAGTGATTTAAGATTTTAAGATATGTGTCTTAATCAGTTTATTTTATTTTATTGAACCATCCAATAAAAACACAATAACATGTAAAATTAATTTGAATTATATTAATTGTTTCCAATTTCCATTAATCTATTCATGCTTCAAATTTAATATTTTAATCATAAATTATAGTTTTATATCATGCATAATTTTACATATTATAATAACACTAATAACTAATAACTAATCAAAAATACTTTAAAAATTTTAAAAAATGTTTTTGTAATAATTCTCTAAACATATCAACCATCATGTTGATGTTATTAAAAATCTTAAGATAACACAACTAAAACAAGAAGTGTTTACTTTAATTTTTGTATGGTTCTAAAGTCAAAATTAGATCAATATTTTGGTTGAAATTATAATTCATTATTTACTACACAAATATGACATAGTCTATTTAACGTTCAACAAATATTAATATAGTATTATTTTAGATGTTATTGAAATTAATTTAAATGTATTAAAACGATTACAATTTACAATCCCTTATAAAACAAAATATGTTCTTCCTAAATCATTAAGTTTAGAACTTACAAATTTAATAACCAGGCCTATGGATTAAATGTATTTGTGTTTTTTTTCTGATACTTTGATAAAGAAATTAAATTTGATGTTAAGTAGGTATCAATTCATAGTACATTTAGAATATTTTATTTTATTTTTTTAAAGTTTTTAAATTTTAAACTAAATAACTTTAAAACTATAAATTCAAATTTTTTATTTAAATTGTATGTTATTACATATTTAGGATTTTAAATAAAAAAACTGCAAAACTGCATATTTTAACATTTAGATTTTATTGCTGTTATATCATGACAGTTTTTTAATGCAAAACTATCATAGACCTGATTATAATAATTCCTAATACTTAATTAAATGTTATTGTTATATATTTAAATCTTAATTTCTACTTAGAATAACTATTAGTTACATTTTTCATTATTATAAACTTGACTTAAGATATACCTTAGGGCTTAAATTATGATTATAAATTCATAAAAAAAATAATACAATATATCTTAAGATATGCATTTACAAACTTTTATGTAATATTTTATGACATGCATGATGTGTTGAATATTGTTACATTAAGATTGATTTGATTATCTGAATTAGAAATTCTCAAACTTTTTTACTTGATAGCAAATTTAGTTTTTTTGTTATAGATTCTTTTAGCATATGAAATTATATAATTACCTATTATATATTTCAAGATAGCAATTATATAATTGATTTTAATAAGCAATATTAATAAATACCTAAACAAATTAAGAGAATTTATTATTAAATTTTAATAATTTCGATTTTAATGTGATGTATTTCAAGGTAATTGCAAATCCTTTTTAATAAACGTAAAATGTCGAATTGCTGACCAAACTTACAATGAATTCTAAATGGAGACCACAATTTTGTTATTTCGAAAATTTACCATCTTAAATATGAGAATGTTACTATAAATCAATAACCAAAGATATTTTCTGAGGACTGAGACGTTTGAGACCATGGATACGAGCTATCTGAACAAATTTTCATAATTATTAATTTGTACTTCGAAATTTCGAATAGTTATAAGTTATAGATGGTGCTATGATAAAGAACGACTAGTTTTGATTTGTGTGCATTTAAACTTCGTTGATGAGTATATTACTTGATTAGTCTATTATGTTATAGCCATTAGCCATAGGACCTTATAATAATATGGAATATAATACATTTTAATCATTTTATCCTGTGATTGTGATTTGTGATAAAAATTAAAAATTATTCATGTTCTATGATGCACCTGTGCTGCAATAATTGATCAGATTGTAAAAAAAAGTGTTATGGCTCCACTGTATGTTATCTTATAATTCGTGGTCAAACTGTTAACTGTTAAGTAACCTCAAACGATAATTTTGATCAGTCTTTTTCGTTCTTGTTGATCTTGTTTACTTCTCGCGTATTTTAGAATTTGACTTGAAGAAACTGTGATCATGGTAAGTATCCAAGTTTATCTTAATAATCCCTTGGTTTTCAAGTAAAATGTTAATTCTTAATGAGAAACCATTCAATTCTTTAACTTAATAGATATTTGACAATCGCCCAATTGTATCCATTTTTCTAAGGCGGTGTCAACTTTTATGAACCATATCTTGCTCAACTTTAAATTCTGTTTGCTTAATAATCTATAATGTGTGTTGTGAATTAGGGTCGCGTCAGGACGAAGACTGTCAAGAAGGCCGCCAGAGTTATCATTGAGAAGTATTACACTCGATTAACATTAGACTTCCACACCAACAAAAGGATATGTGAGGAAATCGCTATCATCCCTACAAAGCCACTGCGTAACAAAATCGCTGGGTAAATATTAAATATGATACTTTTGGTACAACGTAAATCAAGACTGTAATTTAGGCATTAAATAAATAATTTAATTTAAACAAATTTTAATAACCCAACAATTAATGATTTCCGACTATTTGGTTTTTTTTATACCATATAATAAAGCTTGGTTCAATAATCTCTTGTTTCATTTGGTTCTATGACTGGTACTTTCTATAAATTCTTTAAAATGATTGAATTATTCCTGATGTTTGACAGTTTAAGTTGTAAAGCTAGTACCGGACAGTATTTCTGTGTATTTGACACATCTAATTTAGCTTTCATTAGGTAATTTGTGGCTCTTGAGATGTTTAATTATAGTTATTTTAGTCTGACATATTGGTCTTCATCTCTAACAGCAAAATATTTCTATACTTAATAACTCTAAATTATAATTTTCTCTTAAATTAAACGTTTTGTTTGATTTATTCAAAAACAAATATTTTAATGAAATATTATAAATACCAAAAAAGAAATTTCTTTATGGTTTAAAGCAAAAATAGTATTATTTTATTTTAAAACATGTAGTTGAATTATCTCTTTATTAACCCATAACATTTAAATCTTGGCAGCTTATTCAAAATATTCAGTTATTCTCTCTGACATATTAAAAATAAGATATGAAAATAACAATCTTGTCTAATTTCATAAAATATCAATCTTTAATTGTTATGTTAATATTTTTTAATCTTATTACAGTTTTGTTACCCATTTAATGAAAAGATTGCGTACAAGTCAAGTTCGTGGTATTTCCATTAAATTACAAGAAGAAGAACGTGAGAGGAGAGATAACTATGTACCAGAAGTTTCTGCTCTTGAACAAGATGTTATTGAAGTCGATACTGAAACTAAAGACATGTTGAAAATGCTGGTTTGTTATTGTTTTTTTTTTCTAACTTGTTCATTATATTTGGTTAGCTATATTATATATATTTTTTTTTATAGGATTTCCAGAACATCTCAGGATTACAACTGGTCCTCAGCGGAACCCAGTACCCCAAGAGGAATTAAGACATGTAATAATCGTTATAACAACTTATGATTCAGTAAAAAAAATTTTTCCAAACGTGTTTTATTTATTTATTTTAGCTATAATTCCTCATAATGTCTCCCACTTAAATAAATCAAAAAATTGGAAACCTAAATTTTCTATAAATACTTGAGTGTAATGTTATTTATAACAGTTTAAAAAATATATACATATATTTATAAATTATTTATACTTCTAATACCAGATTTTTATACTAATGTATATGAACATTGTTCTTAAAATCTGGTTATTCTTTTGAATTCAGAATTTATAAAAATATTTTATTTCATAATATTTTTTTTGAAAATGTTTTTTAATTTAAACTAATATTATAATATACCAATACTGTATACATAAACTGATGAGTGAACACTCATTAATGCCCATTTACTTATTTCAAGGAATCTAACTATTCCTAAGGAGGTCGACAGGTAACTGTGCTAACTAAAGCGCTTCTACATTAATTTTGATCAAATAATTATTATGGAAATTCTTTTGTTAGACAACGTAAAATTTTAAACTAAAAAGTTGGAAATGCATATTTCAATATATTCTAAATTTTATACAAATTATATTTAAATGTTTTAAAACAATAGAGATTAAAACTGAATGTTACATTTTACTAACTTATGTTACTGAACTTCAGTATTAGAAATATTCTTTTACTTATAATACATGTTACTGAACTTCGGTATTAGAAATATTCTTTTACTTATAATACATGTTAATAAAAAATAGTAGATTATTCATCCTACATAAAGTAAATTTAACCATTATGTTCATTAGTTTATTATTTCTTTAAAAATAATAATGGATAGGCTTTAACCAAAGGTAAAGATACGTAGCAAAAGTTAAATTATCCTATTTTGTAAATAAAATACTTGTTTGATATGGTCATTTAGCAATAAATTATAAAAATGACAAGGTTGCTGCTTATAAATTTTTTAATTTCTTAGTTATTTAATATGAGAATTATTTTTTACAAAATCTAATATCCAATAATCGCTATATTAATACATTTGTAATGTTAGAAAATTGACTTCCGGTATTATCTTCTAAGAGTGTTTGACGAATGATGAGATAGTATTTATAATGAAAATTTTATTTTAATATAAGTAACTACATTAATCATTAGACTAAAAGTCTAATATTTAAGTGTTAATAGTTAGTATAAACAATTAAATAATTCTTTTATAATAGTAGTGTTTTTACTAATTTGTTATTTCTATCTGGGAAGCAGTAATGGCTAAATTAAAAATTTAGTTATGGTCTCAGTGAACGGTAATGAAAGTCAAGGTGTACTATCGTCTATGAATAATACTATAACTATATAGACCACAAACTTTCATGTTCGTGTCTTCGTGATATAAACGATGCAATTTCGCTTTCACTGACGTTTGATTCACCGTGTTAAGTGTTTGTGACGTTTGTGTGCTTAGTGCTCTGCTCTTCTCAGATTATCATAAAATAGTAAAATATATCCATTTATCTAACAAGATATTTACGCCATCTACCAGTGTACTAAGGCTATACAATTATAACCAATGATATCAAGTCATATTTTCTTAT